GAAAAAATTTAAATAATTTTATCCAAAAAATTTTTCTTAATAGATATCTTTTTAGTAGCAAATTTTGTGCAGAAAATACATTAGAATAGTCAATATTTAATTTCTTCGTATTTTTGTGTAAAAGAAAATATAAGGATGTCCAATTCCCATGGATAGGATGAATGAGACCTTCCCCACGGGCACCGCTTTTCAAAAAACTCCACGCTTTTTGACATAAATATTTATAAATATATATAATATGCATTATGTACAAATATACAATTTAAATGAAGTAATTTTAAACTGGATATTTTTATAGTAATTATGTAGGTATGTTTTGAACTAATTATTCTTATTATCGCATTTCAATAATTATTATTATAAAATTACGTCATACATTCATGTTTTCTTCTACTTATATAAGTAATAAGTAATGATGCATAACATAGCAAATTGTATGGTCAGAATAATCCATTTTATTTTCCATTTTATCTCAGTCATTTTTTCTTAATATTACAAGGAATTTACCTATTATCAAATTAAATAATAAAAATACTATCTGATAATCCACAAATAATAATAATAATAATAATCTTATACAATTTATGTATAGGTTTTTTAGGTGATTTAATTTTTTAAATAAATTATAAGTATTTTAAAATTATAAAATTAAAACATCTAAAATAGTCTGGAAGGTTATAAATAATATTTTCATCGTAAATAATTTAAAAAATGTTAATAATATAGGTAGGTCAATTTGAAAAGCATGAGTGAAATTTTATGGGGAGGTACGTCAATAACTTGTTCATTGCACCTCTGTTCAATCAAATTATCAGTACTAAATGTTACTTGTAATTTTAAAATATAAGATTAAAAGATACACAGACAAAATAAACTACAAAATACTTTTTCGGGGCACGGTCAAGAATTGGTCGCAAGGTTCTTTTATCCCGATCTCTTACTTCTATCTACCCAAAATATTATTACAATATTTATATACATACCTATTATAATAGTAATAGTATGTAATAAGTAATAACAATAAGTGCTCACACTCCAAACGAGTTATTTTCGTTTATACTATTATCTTTTTTTTTTTTTTTTACTTTCATTAATTATTATTACACAATCTATAAAAAATATTTTTACAATAAAAGTGAGTGTTGTAAGTATTTAGTGGTTTTAGTATATACTTGAATGAAAAGACCTTCCAAAGAAGGCTCTTCAACGTGGGTGAAATGTTATTATATGTTATTTCGTACCATTCGTATCTAAATATTTCAATTTCATTCTAAAATATAAAATCAAAATACCCTATGATTTATTATTTTCAATAAACTTAAATTTATTTTATTTTTACCCGATGGCTTATTATCTCATATCAGTGAACTTTGGTAGGTAGATCAAGAAAATATTTGCGTCCACGACTGTTAAAAATTTAAATATTCAACAAAATAGATTTAAAAAAAAATAAATAAAACATAAACTAATTAATCTTGGATTATGTAAAGGAACTAAAAAAAAATATTAAGTACCTATTAGTTGATTTAATTATTCACTAAAATATAATAAATTATTCGTGGGCCACTAAATCATGTTCAACTTTATTTCAGGACCAAATTAGCTAACAATTGATTCATTAATATATTTATTAATTCTTTAAATGTTAAGCGATTGTTTATATTATGCAACCCAGCATAAATAGGTATATTATATTATGAAAATAATAATTTTAGGTTTTAGCAGGTGGGCCTTGAACACAATAAAATTGTTTTGTTAATTTCGTTTAAAATTTAAAAATATTTATCTTTTAATCACAAACATTGGCCGGTGATCAAAAACATTGAAAAGTTACTTCATTTTTTGATGCTGCGTGCCTGTGTCTGTAATTAGTTTGCTTCACTCGTCAATACTGACTACTGAGTACCGACTGTTATTAAAGTACTCAGCCAAGACATAAATATCTAACATCTAACGTCGTCATACTGCAGATTATTATAATCCTTAACGGATCTTGGTATGTTCATAGTGCATCAAAAAATATTCACGTTTCTACTTTAACAAGTATTATACTATAATTAATATATTCAAATTATTTTTAATTTAGATTTTATTTTATATAGTTTTGGAGTTAATAGTTTTTATAATTAACCTAAACGAGCTCATACCAGGAATAAAAGCCTTTTATTTATTCAAGCTTACTTTACTAGTTATTAATTTATGTTCCCAACAGAACAAAAAGTTAAATGAATTTTTGATTTTTCGCTATTATAGCAATATAACATTTAGTAATAAAATTATTATTTGTCACTTACCTATACAATGTGTTCCGAGGAGAAATAACCGGTTAACGTCAAACAAAAGTATACCTAAAATGATTTTTATTTTATTATTTCTAGGATTCCATTAAATCATAAAAATATTATATAAATAAAAAAATAAGAATACATTTTGAAAAACATGTTTATTTAAATGCATTTATTATATTTTGTCAGTAAACAATTAAAATATTTAGTTAGTTATACTAGTATAATTTATACTTTTAACTAGTATTTTTTTTTTTTTTTTTTGTTATTGCAGAATACTTGATACTAATTCTTTTATATTCGATTCATAATTCGTAACTTTTAACAAAGCAAAATATTATGTGCATTCATCCCTCAATCGATTTTATAGATCAGATTCGATGAAATTTATTTCCCAAAAAACTGACTTCCATAAATAAGTTGAAGAAAGATTGATAAAATAACCAATGCCAATATTTTTAATTTACAATAATTTTCCATTATAGCATTCTATACTTTCAAAATTGTATTCTCTATATTTTAAATCAACTGCCTACAGATTTATCACGCTTGATTTCTTCTAATTTATTTCTTAGTAAAATGAAAAATGAAAAATGATTAAAATTATGGTCTCATTATTTTTTACTAAAAAAAAATTAAATTATAAAATAAATACAATATAATATTTTTATTTTTCACGGGCCTTAAACATTTTTTTACATGCCAGAAAGCTATAAAATCAATCATTTGCCGTGTTCGAAAATCATATTCAACCGCTCCCAGAAATGATTTTATTACTAAAATAAATTAGATAAAAGACCCATATTTTCAAAAATTTCGAAAATTTTTCATACCTATAAATAGCTTAAAAAGTGACAAAATATTTTGAAAATAATACTATGTATGGAAAATTATAATATAAACTTTGATAAAAAGTTATAATAAAATTAAGAAATCAATTTTTTGAAAACGGCTTTAGTGTAAAAATTTCCATTTCTTTTCCGATTACTAAGAAAAGTGCTAAGATTTTTTACGACCTCTAAATACTAACTAGATCCAATTTTCTACCAAAAACCACCCTCAGAGACCAAAGTTAAAAAAGGAGATTTTTTACTGCTTAAAAATATAATAAACTGATATGACAGATTATAAAATATATATATATGTGTCAATTTAAAATAAATATTCATCACTCCGCACAGAATCTAAAAGTATTAAAGAATTTTGTTCTCTTATTTTTAAAAATATCAACAAATTTTAATATTTACCATACAGTTGATAGAATAATATATGAAAAAAACCATAAATATTTCTATTGACGCCATCTTTAAACGAATTGAAACAGAGCACTTAAAAAGATATATTTATAATATGTCATACTAGTAGGTATCTGAAGTCCTGAAGAGACCAAAATTTTTGTGTATTGATTAACTATGTTGTCCAAATAAAATACTTTATATCGCATATTACAGAAGTGTTTCTATTCGTCCTCCTTTACGGTTCCTTTATATATTTATTTTAGAATATCATATTGTATTATTGATTATAAAAAAATTCGTAGGTGATTAATGATTATCATTAATTTCCCAAGTGATAATTGTATCAAAAAAAAAAAAAAAATAAAATAAAAATAAAAATAATTGAAATCGTTCAATAATTTGTTTAAAACATCGATAATTGTTGTTAATTTATCTCGATGGTTTGATTTCTAATCATAATGTTGTTACAAGAATTATTCTTGCCATCATGTCACTAATATAATATTATATAACACACTACTTAACGAAATCGATTACCGTTTATCAATGGTCTAATGTTCAAACCAGTTTCAAGTTGTTTAATCCAAAAATAATACATCATATTATTGAATAAAATTAACTCTGACCAAAAAAAAGTAAAAGCAAATTAATGCATACTTTACATGCTTATTTAATGAAATATTAAGATGAGATTTTGAAATTTTTTTTTTTTTGTAGCATAATAGCATTTTATTTTAAGCTTCTTATAGTCTAAAAATCCACTCTCTAGACTCATTAACTCTATTAATATCAGTCATGCTCGCGGATAAAAAGAACAAATTTGACACACACCAACATCCGATACTCAGTATCGCATCGCAACAGACTGAAATAACTGAATATTGAATAATGAATACAATAATAGAGATTATAGATAAGCGTTTACATAGTCTGTGAATATAACCGCGCTTTCTACAAGCGTCATGGCATAAGAGATATTATATACGGGTATATAATACATAGATGATAACGTTTTATGTGTATTTATGCCATGACGTTCGTCTAATGTACCCAAATAGTGGCATGTGCTATGTGTTCTATGATTGTTTTCACGCGGAGTGGGTAATATCATTTTGTTATCGCGGCATCGTGCGTGCATAATGTTATAATATTATCGTAGAAATTCAAACCGACGTATCCTCCTCAATTGAATGTCGCGCGTGAAAGTTATTTTCAAGGTCCGCAGTTGTACCTACCCATAGTTTAAGCGGCCAGTAGTTAGGAATTTGAATGTTATAACCCGAAGCGACAATCGGACCATGGCGCATTCGACTGTGGACTGTGTGCGGTGGTGCTTCCAGTCTGCCGCAATTTTCCCGTCGTAAATTTACAAACCGAATTCGTCGTGATATTTCTTCTTTCTTTCTCTCTCTGTCGTGTTCCGAGTGAAAGTGTTCTGCGTATTTTTAATAATTTCCCTGCAATATCCATACCAACAATGGCTTTGGCATCTGGGACTAAAGAAGTGATCGTACTGAAGCAGACACAGGAAAAAGATTTTACTTATGTGATGAAATCTCTGTTCGCGGGTGGTGAGGCATTGTTGTTAATTATTTTGTTACTATACTAAATTATGTGATCAATAACACCCTATTGATTTTATAGGTGTTGCTGGTATGTGTTCAAAAACAGCTGTTGCTCCTTTGGATCGAATTAAAATACTGTTACAGGCCCATAATAAACATTATGCAAATTTTGGTAATTATACCTTGTACAATTTCAATTAACATTATGGTTATTAAAAATTAAATATTGCCTCAATAAATTTTAAGTAACATTTTTAACAAAAAAAACAGCTTAGGTAATCACTTACAAATTAATATTTTAATCAAAAATGTATAAAGAAAAAAAAATATTTAAATTTAGTCACACAAGTTATAAAGCAATGTGAAAATTTTAAAATTGTATTTAATAATACTCATATATGTTATAAGTTTTTACCAAACAATTTTAAGAAAGTTATTGTAAAATAATTCAATAAACAAAACTTTATTCTTTAAATTAAATCTATAAAATATGTATTTATAAATTTTAAAAATAGTCTTGTTCCATGTCTCAAAGTTACATCATTGATGAATGGCTGCTTCCTTTAAGTCCTTAGTTTTTCAAAAATTTAGCTTATTTATTTTTTCAGCTTTATAAATACCATTTATACTTGTAGTAAAAAATATATATTTACAGATTCAACAAATTCTAAATTAAAAAAAAAAAAAATTGAATAAGCATGTGCTATAAAAAATTTTATTTTAATAATTTATAAATAAATAATACATTTATAAATTGTTAAACTATAAAATTAATGTTTTAAACTTTAATATGTTTAATGTACTATATGTAAATCTAGTGAAATAAATTAGGCATAAGAAAATGCTACCTATTGTATAACTGACTAAAAATTGATAAATTTTTTTTACTTCTTTTTACCTAAGATTTCTTAAATGATTTTCTCTGAAGAATCAGTTTGTGTTTAATATTGTTATTTCATAAAATTATTTATTAGATTTAAACTCTAAAAAATATAAAAGTATTGTTATAGCTTAATTTCTGTAAAAATTAAAAAAAATATTATTATATATAACCATGTAAACTTAATAAATTATTTTCATAATCATTTAATTTAATTACTTTTTAATATATAATTAAATGTGTAGATTACCTTTATATTTTATTTGGCAGTTTAAACAATAAAATATTATGAAATGCTTAGTTGTTAAAATTTTAATTAACTTAAATATTAAGTCCATATAATAACATTAACTATTTATAAATTATTAGGTTTATTTATTTATTATTTGCTATTTCAATATACATTTAAATACTTGTGTAATTGAATAAAACAAGTAGCTATTTTAACTCAATACAAATTAATTCATTTGTGCTATTTTAGGAGTATTTAGTGGTCTTGCTGAAATTGTTAAACGTGAGAGTTTTATTGCATTATATAAAGGCAATGGGGCCCAAATGGTGAGAGTTTTCCCATATGCTGCTATTCAATTTACTTCATTTGAATTTTACAAAACAGTAATATGCCTATTAAACTAATTAATACTTGGTTCAATCATAATATTAACAATTTTAAAATTAACTGTTTCCAGCTACTAGGATCTATTCTTGGAAATGGTTCACATATTGGAAAGTTTGTGGCTGGTTCATCAGCTGGAGTTACAGCAGTTACCATCACATATCCTTTAGATACAATTAGAGCACGGTTAGCATTTCAAGTGACTGGTGAACATGTTTACAATGGGATCGTACATACTGCTAAATCCATTATCCAAAATGTACTTTGAAAATCGCATGCTATAAAAAGTGTATAATGTATATTGATAACAGTTTTAATAGGAAGGAGGAGTAAAAGCTTTATATCGAGGTTTTGTTCCTACATTATGTGGTATGGTCCCATATGCAGGTTTAACATTCTTCTGTTTTGAATCTATTAAAAAATTTTGTTTGAAAACACTACCAAAATGGTTTAGTAAACCATCAGACAAAGATTCTGGTGAGTTCTAATGGTTTATTAAAGGCTATATAAATCATTAAAAATTATTTTAAATAGGTGGTGCTGTGCTTACTATACCAGCAAAATTACTATGTGGTGGTTTATCTGGTGCACTTGCACAATGCGTTTCATATCCATTGGATGTAACAAGAAGAAGAATGCAATTATCAAGCATGGATAACAATACAAAATATAGGTGAATATCTTTAAACTACATTTTATTTTTTAATAAATATATAATATTATATTTGTTTTAATTGTAATCATCTTAATAATTCTACCTAAAATATAAAGTTTTTATTTTTAATCATTTATTTCTCATTTCAGACATGGTATGATCAAGACCTTAATAACAGTCTATCGTACTGACGGTATTACAAACGGATTATATCGAGGCATGAGTATTAATTTTATTAGAGCAGTACCTATGGTTGCTGTATCATTTTCTACTTATGAATTAATGAAACAGACTCTGCATTTAGATACTGGAGTTGATTCCTGAATACATTTTTAGCAACCAGTGAATTTGTCTAGGTCTAAATATTTTATTAGATTAAAATATTTATTGTTTTAAAATATATAGTTATTATTTTATTATAAAATTTATTTATTGTTAAAATTGAAATAAATTATTTTTTTCAAAAATATTGCATAAAGCTTATTGATATTCGATAAAAATTAATTCCTATAATCTAAATAAATTATATTAAAAAAAAAAAGAATTAATGAAAATAATTTGTCTTTTAAAGTAATACTATGTAAAATGATTTATTAATATCAATTTAAATACAGTACATATTATAATGTACTACTACAAATTAATCAATCTCTAGAAGATAAATATAAATCTATTTTATCCTTTTGACAATATTAGCTGTGAACTATTTATACTATTTCCAACTTCTTCTTTTAAATTTGATTCATTTACAGATACACAGAACTTAGTAATTGCAGCTGCAGCTTTGAATAATTTTGCTGTTCGTTGTTTATCCATTTTCTTTTTCCACTAAGATAAAAATTAATTATGTTAATGGTTAGAATTTATAAAAATATTCTTTACACTTACAGTTTCATCTCTAGAAGGTAACGCTGAGAGGAATGAATCCTTAATCGGATCAGCTATGGCTAAGACTGTTAGACATCCGTCTACAGTAGCTATAACAACTGCTCGTCCATCTTCTGTTGTTTCTATAGCACTTAATTCTGCAGGTACACGATAGTTGGCTAACATTTTTGCATCAGTAAGTCTGTTGAATTAATTGTTCATTTGTAAGTGTACAATACTTAACATTACTAAGGAACTTTAGACTAACCGAAAAACTCTCAGTGTTTTTTTCCCGCTGTGATAATACAACACATATTCATCGGTTTTATTAAACATACAAATTACTGTAAATACACCTTCAGCAACTCGTGGTATAAATGTCTTTACAGAGCTTCCTTTTTTAAGTTCCAAAAGCTCTAAACCCCCTCTGGTGGGTGCATATAATCCATATTTTCCATCTTTAGTACAAAATCCGCCCCATTTTGGAATTGATTTTAAAAATTTCTTTGTACGGATGTCAAATAACATACCTTTATCAGGATTTATTACAGCAACTAAATTAGCTCGATGTGGCATTGCTACAATAAACATAATATCCTGAAAATAAAAATATATTATTATTTACTCTTATGGCCATTTAAAGAAAAATTATCAGTCACAACCAGTATTTATTTTTTATTAACATTTTGAACGTGACTTTCAACAAACAACCTTATTTTTTAAATCTAGACGCTACATAACAATACAATTTAAGGTCATGGAAGAAGATCTTTGAGCTTTGTCACCCCATTAATATAATATGGTTTATTATCAGCTCATTTTACAATATTTAACTATTTAAAAATCATTATTGTCAGTATAACATTTGTTGTTAAAATCTGTTTTTGTATTGAACACATCATTTTGGAATTCACTCTACTTATTCATGGTTTTGTAAAAATATAATATTTTACACTGAATAATCAGACAATTTTACATATTTTGTTATTTATGTATAACATATCTTATTATGTACTTAAACATTTTTTAACTATCATAGAAAAATATAATGACTTGATAGAGAAGTATTAAGATTACACTTATTGAATTAGAAAATACATAAGATTTCCATAGTTTAAGCATTAAAAAGTATTAGTCATAGAGACTTTATTAATAACTAAACTACTATCTCTAAATCATTAATGTTGTTTTAAGTCAGATTCACTTAGGTTATTTTTAATTCACTAAAGATATTATATTTTATACAGAATAATTAAGCTGTTTTAAATATTTAGCATCTATTTTTAAAATTATCACAATAAATTATAACGGCTGAATAAGTGTAACACAGAAGTATTGAGATAGAGATTATTGAAATAAAAAATTCACTATAGTTTAAAAAGCATTAAAAATTATTTATCACAATATATTTGTTACTAACTAACTATTTATATTGGTAAATAGTTAATGTTATTTTAAGTAGGATTCAAAACAGAATTTGATTTATTTTTTTAGTTTTTTCCTCATCTGTTTTTATATACTATAGTTAAAGTATGTATATATATAATGATATAAATAAGACTTGAAAAAATTCAAATTCTATTTTTTTGCCACACATTCATAAATAGATAAAACAATTTTAAGCACGCATACTTACTGTAGTGTTTAGTTTTTATACTTAATTTACCAAAATGTTTTTATCTATTTTAATATTATTTAAAAATCTAGATTTATATAATATTATTTAAAGAAAAAATTGATGCTACTAATTTGTATAATATTGATTTTGATTTTAGTAAATAGGAATAAAAATAAATAGGTGACATTTAATAAATGTAAGCCACATAACTTGACTAAAGATTGATATCAATTATTGTCTACAATTACAAACACTGAGTATATACAAATTATATGTCTATTTCGGTCATTCTGTTGTACTTTAAACAGTATATATACATTATACAACTCTCAATAACAAGTCTAAATAGATAAATGCCAAAAAAAAAAAAAAACACAAAACCAATATATATTTCTTTTCATGCATCAATGTTACAAATACTTCAATGAACACAGACTAAGATTGCAAATAAACTATATTTGAAAAAACATCATAATAAACAACAATAAACAATATTAATTTCATGATAATAGAACAGAGTAAAAACTTGGCATATCTATAGACCTGTATCACGTGGGCCTGACGTTAAATTGAAATTTTTTAAAACGTACATAACTTCAATTTTTTTTAAATAATAATAAATAACCTTATTACATCTAAAACATTATTTTATAACAATTATCATCATTTATCAAAATTTAACTAAGTACCTACTGAGGTCTATCAAATTATGGATAAATTGGTGAAATGAACTAAATCTAATTTTCTAACTACAACTATAGGTTTTGAAATTTCATATTATAATTTGACATAATTTACACTGGATTATTTTGGGGTGCAGTCATATGTCATATCCATTTGTTCTTTTCCCCCTACCCATGTTGCTCTACATTTGCAATACTTATAGGGACAAAACTTTCTACATGTATCTTCATCATCATGACTTCCTTTGCATAAGGCTCCGGGATTTTTTAATTTAGTTCTTCCTGGTTGTCGTTTATTTCTCTTCAGATCAGCACCATATTTAGTGCCGTTTACTGAAACGTTCCAAATACTTTGCAAACAATTATCCCAGGCTTCATTCTTACAATCATTAATACACATTGTCACATGAGAATAATTTATTAAATCCAAACACTTCTCCCTCTGTTGACATTGAACATTATAATTTTTCCAATCACAAGATCTGACTACATCTATAGCACCACATATAATTAAAACAATACAAATATAATTCATTTTACTTTTTAACAGAAAATAGAGCAGTCTCTTGTGAGTAAATTTTGTGGTCATTAAATGGTCAAATCTCATTTCTGAAAAGTTAGGAATAATTACGTGTGAATTACAAACATGAACATGGAATTTTTAAGAAAATGAATCGTATTAAATAGAAACCATTAATTCAGTTATATAACAAAACCAAAACCAACCTTGAAATAATTAAATGATCCGTGCACTTCTACTGACCTCCAATGTGAGACTAACAATAGATAAAGGAAGAACACAATTGAATAAATGCGAATAACTATACCCAGCTTTCAATTACCCTAATCCCAGATCCCTTTCTCCTCACCACTACTAAAAAAAATCAGTACAACTTCACTATATTCCTCCAACCAATACATTCATTGAGATATGGATACAGGGAGGGGACTTAGGGGCCCAACGCCAGACATATTATTTCTCACATTTTTTTCATAATTCTACAAATTCTGATACCTACTGCTATATTTAAAATCACATAATATACATCTGATAATATAATATATTATACAAGGTAGATTTATTATATATCGAAAAAAGCAAAAATGCAAATAGACGTTTATTATTTTATTTATAAATATTATATTATATTAAATAATCATTAATTTATTTATTACATTTATTACCTAAACTTACTATTATGACAAAAATTTTTAATTATGAATTAAGTAACTATAAAAAAATTGTTTGTGCCCCCTTCTAGATCTTTGTTCTAGATCCGTGCCTGATTCAACATTTAGATCATTTGCTTGAAAATTTTTAAAAATAACAAGTGCACAATTTGACAACACCTATGGAATAGATTTCCATCTATAATCTATAAGTACCTAAAAAATTATTATTTAATACAAATTAACAATTTATCATTAACTTTCTTCTTTTAATGGTCATATATAGTAACCTACATATATCACAATCATTCTGTATGTATAACTTGTTATTGAAATAAATTTATATTATGTGTATGCATACTAGTGTACAATTAGATAATTTTATGTATTATATAAAAGGGGGAGACACAAATTAGATAAATTGGTTTAAATAATCAGCATTAGACTTTTGTGTATGAACAACCTCTGTTCATAATCAAGGAAGGTCTAAATTTATAAACATGCTACTAGTTAACCACATACAAACATGGATATTAATACTTAATCTAACATCCCAAATTTATGTAAGTTCTTGCCTCACGTAGTAACATGACTGCTTATATAATTCTATTTCTATTCGTGTTTGGTAATTAGACTTGGGTAGAATAAATTATTTTGTTCTCGAATATTTGAACAACCTTTAATCTAGATTTTAATTTAAAAGTGTAAATTAAATAAATCTTTTAATATTTAACAACTAACAAGTATATTAGGTATTCAATGATTCCTCAGTGCATTACATTGTACATTAGATATATGCAATAACTATGCCTACCTTCATTCCAGATTGTTTGAGAACAATTTTTGTAACATATTCACCATTGGACGCATTAAATATATGAAGTGCTTCTCTGTGACCTTTATCACTAGCCAGAGCAATCAAATTAAGTCCATCTGCGGTCACAACAAGCTCTTTGAATTCCATACCCGTAACATTGCGTACTTGGTAGTCAAATGAGTAAATACATTTTCCATCTGGAATAGATCTCACAATGGCAGTAGCATCAATATTCTGCTGAGTTTCTACATTTATTTCTTCTTGTTTTGAAACCGTTAGGCATTTTGTTGCTTCATCTAAAAGCATTATTTGCTGAATTCCAGGTTGTTGTTGTTTAAAAATTACTCTACATAAGATACGATTCCAGATGAGTAAATTTCCAGATTCAGAGCATACTATATATTTTCCATCAGGTGTAATTAATGCTTGAGTAACAATAGCTCCTAATAAATTGTCTGCTAACTGTTGAATTAATCTTCCTGTGTTAATATCCCATATTCCAACACAACCTCGGGTTACAGTAGCTGCCAAGCCAGAATGTGATAAACTTGAAATTCATTTAAATATTTATTAATTATTCACATACAATTATTTTTAAAATCCAAATTTTACCTTATAGAATCAATTTGTAATTCATGTCGATCTATAACATGGACTTGTTCAAATATATTATTGATGTTCCATACTTTTACTGATCTATCAATAGATGAAGTTATTACAGAATTCCAATTTCCTGTAGTTAATGGCAAAAGTGATATTATGCGACCAAAATGTGCATCTAATACTTTGATTAACAGTTCAGTTTCCATATTCCACACATACAACATTTTTCTGAAAATAATTAAGTAACCATATGTAAATAGTATCATTTTAATGTCATAATTAGGTTAATTGTTATAGTTTAATACTTACCGAACTCCAGCAACCAAAAACCGTTTGTCAGCTGACAGCATACATGAATTTGATTGCATCATGTTTATAGTAATGTTACGTACTCCGTGTGGTAAATGTAATACTTTTGTACCATCTAAAGATAAATCCCAAATACAAAAACCATTTGAAATAGTGCCCAAAAGTGAAGATGAGTCCTCGGATAATTTAATTTGAAGCACTGTGCAATTACCAACTGAAATTTATTATTATAGTGTTATAATAAAACTCATTTAATTAAAATTTGATAAAAATAATTTTTTACTATGTTTTAAATTTTTAATCAATTTCCACTCATTGTCAATAAAATCAAATTGAGAAATATCATAAGAATTTTTAGTTGGACAACAATATAATCTAGTTTCTTCCTTATTTATAGCCATAGCACTATGAAAATAGAATTTTGGACCAGTATTATTATCTTTTGTTGTTTGCATCATCATCCTAGTGTCATCCATTCTGCCAGACCAAAATATAAAACGATTACAAGTCAGTGTAATGAATTTCACAGACATCAAAACCCATTGATTAGGATCTTCATTTGTTGTAATTCTGCAAAACAATATAAATCAAATAAAAAAAATAGTTTTTAATTTTAACTTATAATAGAACAATAAATAAAAAATAAAATAAAAATATGAAATTCATAAATAGTAATGGGTTAAATAAATTTCTAAAAATAATTGATAAATATACTTAGATTCTAAATTTCCTCTTAAGTCATATCTGCACAATGAAAAAGATCCATGGACAAATAAATGAGTATTTAGCATGTTAACGCCTGAAACCGTTTCTCCATTTTCAAAAGGATTTTCAATAACAATAAATTCACTCGTAAGACAGTTTAATAATACAGTCTGTGCATAATTTAATATTTTAATATTTATAAATTATACACAAATCTTAAAATTATTTAAAAACCGTTATTTTACTTGATTATTGTTAGTATAAGCTGCAGCATAACGATTATCAGGACTTAAACACAATGCTTGCATAATTCCTTCCAATCCTGGATTTACATTTCTAGTCATATCACTTGTAGATAAATCCCATGTAATAAATCTATTTGATATTGACACAATATATCTATAATCAGATGTAACTTGAAAATCAAAAACAGCAAATTGATGACCTTCTAGGGAATACTATAGAAATAAAATATAGTTAATAAAAAAATAATGACAGTTAATAAAATTAATACTTTTAATGGACCTCCTGGAGTATGCAAACAATGATAATAAGGTATAAGAGCACAATTATCTGGTCCAAATTTATCACATTCTGCTAATAAACTTTTTATATTTGGATTTGATCCGATTTCTGGTAATAAACGACCAATTAATTGAGGAGCAAGCATATCAGGAAATTCACTAAGTATTGCTCCACCTAGTCTTAAGGCGTCAGCAACAAGTATCAATTCTCTAAAAATTAATAATAAAATTTATTTGAAATTCTAAAAAAAGTCTTCATTCAGGATGTATGGCATCCTAGACCATTGCCATGTCAGATTTGGCATATCCTGTAAGGCTGTAAGGGACAAACACATTTTATTTATAAAACCAAAAACCTGACCTTTGCTTTGATTTGATCTCATTGCTTATTGATGTTTTGAAATAAAAAATATACATTAAATATTTAAAAAAATATAGTAATGAGGTATATAATAAATGTTACCTAGTAGCATCTCGGTCATCAATATTTGCACAGGCATCTTCAAAATCACTTAGAACTGCTTGTAAAGGGCATGAGGATAACTTTGCATGTAACCATTGATAATTAAATAAGACATTCTTATACAAATCTTGAAAACGATGAGCTCGTACGAGATGATATGGTAACTCTCCAAACTAAGAATTGAATTTATAATTGTTATTGGTATGAATATTCTACCGTTTTATACCACTAACTTTTCTTAAATTATATCTTGAAGCTGTTCCTTCTTTTGAATAAAATACTAGAGGTTGTACTGGTACTTTCCTATCTGCTGAACCTTCTCTATTTTGTAAATTAAATCTATGTCTCTGGATTTCAGTATATTTAAATGGTTTTGGATTTCCTCCACCCCAAATTCCTAAATAATAATCAGCTATAGAAGAATGAAAATAGGTAACCATATTCATGTTTTTAAAGTATCTTTCTCGAGCTGCGTCCCTAAATTGTCTATAAAACATTTTAAAAGACATACTACATTTTAATAACTTAACAACATTTAAAAATGAATGATATATATTTTGAATTAATCATACCTATGGTACCAGTTTAATACACTAACACCATCAGCTTCTCTTTCTGATAGGTAATTTGGTAAATCATTTCTAATTCTAGTCCACAGTAAAGGAGGAATTCTCCTAACTGGCGGTAAATGGTATTGATAAACATCATCTAACACTTTGTCATCTAAAGATATTAAATCTTCTAGTTCTGATTCAGACAAACCACTCTTTGACGCTGTTATATATGCTAAAGCATGAAAGACAAGAAGTCGGCCGTGTTGTTTTTCAATCCTCTCAAAAAGCATCATAATTGAATCCATTACATTAGATGCTAAATGAGTTTCTTGTGGTTTTGTATAACTTCGCCAACGGCAAATCTCAGCAAATACTAGTTTGACAAAAATTGGCAAAGAACATTGATTGATAGCATTAGATACAAGTCTCCACTGACAATTTGTCAAATCTCGGTGTGCTGTTTCCATCCACTTTCTATTATGTAAATTTATATAATATTAAATTAAAGATAAAGTTAAATAGTTTAGTAATATAAATTAACTAAAATGATAAGCAAAATATTTTGGAATGAAGAAAAATTAAATTTTTAAAAGCATTTTATGAGCATAAGAATTTATAAAAATAAAAATACTTTGAAAACAATAACATAC